AGCATTATGGTTAGGTTTACGGTTTTTGTTAGGGTTAGATAAGGTTTGTGGTTAGGGTTAGGGTATAGGATTAGGGTTAGTGTTAGGATTTGAGTTAGGTTTAGGTTAGGGTAGGTGTTAGGGTTAGAGTGTAGAATTACTGTTAGGGTTAGAGTTAGGTTTTTAGTTAGTGTTAGGGTTAGGTTTAGGGATGGAGTTAGGGTTAGATTAGGATTGGAAAAAGAATTAGGATATAGGATTAGGGTTAGGGTTAGGGTTTGAGTTATGGTTAGAAATAGGTTAGGTTTGAGGTTAGGTTTAGAGTGTAGGATTAGAGTTAGGGTTAGGCTTAAGGTTGGGGTTTGAGTTATGGTTATGTTTAATATTAGGTTTGGGGTTAAGTTTAGGGTGTAGGATTAGGGTTAGGGTTAGGGTTATGTCTTGAATTTGGGTTAGGGTTAGGTTGAGGTAGTGGTTAGAGTTAGGCTGTAAGATTAGGGCTACGGTTAGGGTTAGGGTTTGAGTTAGGGTTCAGGTTAGGTTTGGAGTCATTGTTAGCGTGTAGGATTAGGGTTCAGTTTAGGGTTAGGGTTAGGGTTAGGGTTAGGGTTAGGGCTAGGGTTAGTTTAGGGTTAGGGTTACGGTTAGGGTTAAGGTTTGATTTAGGGTTAGGGTTAGGTTAGGTTTTTGGTTAGGTTTAGGGTGTAAGATTTGTGTTAGGGTTAGAGTTAGAGTTAGGCTTTAAATTAGGATTATAGTTAGGTTAGGTTTGGATTAGGGTTAGGGTGTAGGATTAGTGTTAAGGTTAGGGACAGGGTTAAGGTTTAAGATAGGGTTAAGTGTTAGGTTAGGGCTTGGGTTAGGATTAGGGTATAGGATTAGTGTTAGGGTTAGGGTTAGGGTTTGAGTTAGGGTTAGTGTTAGGTTAGGGCTTGGGTTAGGGTTAGGATGTAAGATTAGGGTTAGGGTTAGGCTTTGAGTCAGGGTTAGGGTTGTATTAGAATTGGGGTTAGGGTTAGGGTGTAGGATTAGAGTTAGGGTTAAGGTTAGACTTTGAGTTTGAGATAGGATAAGGTTGAGGTTGGGGTTAGGGTTAGGTTGTAGGATTAGGGTTGGGTAGGGTTAGGGTATGGGCTTGAGTTAGGGTTAGGATTTGGTTAGGTTTGGGGGTAGGGTGTAGCATGAGGGCTAGAGTTAGGGTTAGGGTTTGAGTTAGTGTTAGGGTTAGGTTAGGGTTGTGGTTAGGGTTAGGGTTATGATTAGGGTTAGCGTTAGGTTTAGGTTAGGGTTATGGTTTAGGATTAGGTTAGGGATAGCTTTAGGGATTGAGTTAGTTTTAGGGTTAGGTTAGGTTTGGGGTTAAAGTGAGGTTGTAGGATTAGTGTTAGTATTAGGGTTAGGTTTTGATTTAGGGTTCAGGTGTAGGATTAAGGTTAGTTTTAGGGTTGTGGTTAGGGTTAGGGTTTGAGTTAGAGTTTGGGTTAGGGTTTAGGGTTAGGGTTAGCGTTAGGTTAGGGTTATGGTTTAGGATTAGGTTAGGTTAAGGTTAGGGATTGAGTTAGGGTTAGGGTTTAGGTTTAGGTTAGTTTTAGGATTAGGGTTATGGTTTGAGTTAGGTTTAGAGTTAGATTAGGGTCAGGTTTACAGTTAGGGTTTGGTCAGGGTTGTGTTTAGGATTAAGATTTAGGTTTAGGCATTAGTTTAAGGGTTATGGTTTGAGTTAAATTTAGGTTTAGGTTAGTATTGAGGTTAGGGTTAGGGTTAAGGTTAGGGTTTGAGATAGGGTTAGGTTTATGTTGGGGTTAGGGTTAGGGATAGAGTTACGGTTAAGTTTAGGGTTAGGGTTTGAATTAGTGTTAGGGTTAGGTTAGGGTTGTGGTTAGAGTTAGGGTTAGGGTTAGGGTCAGGCCTAGGTTTAGGGTTAGGCTTATGTTTACGGTTTTGGCTTGTGGTAGGGTTAGTGATAGGGTTAAGTGTTAGGTTTATGGTTAGTTTTAGTTTAGGGTTAGGGTTTGGTTAGTGCCAGATTTATGTTAGGGTTATGGTTAGGGTTAGGTTAGGGTTAGGGTTAATTTAGGAATAGGTTTAGGGTTTGGGTAGGGTTGTGTCAGGGTTTGGGTTAGGATTAGGGTTTGGATTTGGGTTAGGTTTAGGGTTAGGTTTAGTGTTATGTTAGTGTTAGGGTTTAAGGTTAGGCTTATGTTTAGGGTTGTGGCTTGTGTTAGTGTTAGGGTTAGGGTTAAGGGTTAAGGTTATTGCTAGTGTTAATTTAGGATTAGGGTTTGGTTACGGTTAGGTTAGGGTTAGGGATAGAGTTAGGGGTATGGTTATGAGTTTGGGTTATGTTTTGGATGAGTGTTAGGTTATGGTTAGGGTTCGAGTTAAGTTAGGGTTAGGCTTAGGTTAGGATTAGGGTTAGGGATAGGGTTATTTAGGGTTATGGTTAAGGTTAGGGTTAGGATTAGTGATAGCTGTTTGGGTTAGTTTCAGGGTTAGGGTTCAGGGTTTAGATTTCTTGTTGGTGTTATGGGTAGGGTTAGTTTAGGGTTAGGGATAGGGTTAGGGGTATGGTTATGGGTTAAGGTTAGGTTTAGGGTAAGAGTTAGGGTAGTATTAGGGTTAGGTTAGGTTCAGGGTTAGTGTTAGCGGTTAGGGTTAGGTTTAGGGATGTGGCTGCTTAGTTTTAGGGTTAGGGTTTACAGTTAGGGTTAGGGTTAGTGCTAGGTTGTGGTTATGGTTAGGCCTAGGGTTTAGGGTTAGGGTTAGAGTTAGGGTTAGGGTTATGGTTTGGATTAGATTAGGGTTAGTGTTAGGGTTAGGTTTAGTATTAGGGTTTAGTGTTAGTGTTAAGGTTAGGTTTCAGGTTAGGGTTTACGTTTTAGGGTTAGGGTTAGTGTTTGAGTTAGGATTAGGGTTACATAGGGTTACTTAGGGTTAGGGTTATGGTTTGGGGTTAGGGTTGGGTTTAGGGTTAGGGTTTGGGTTTGGGTTAGGGTTATTATTTGTTAGGGTTGTGGTATAGGGTTTAGGGTTAGGGTTAGGTTTCAGGTTAGGGTTAGGATTATGGTTACGGTTCTGGTTAGTGTTAGCGTAAGATTAGGGTTAGGTTTAGTGTTTTGGGTTAGTGTTAGGGATAGGGTTAGGGTTAGGATTAGTGTTTGGGTTTGGGATTAGGGTTGGTGTTAGGTTTAGTGTTAGCGTTAGGGTTCAGGGTTTAAGGATAGGGTTGGGGTTAGGGTTAGAGTTAGAGATAGGGTTACTTAGGTATATGGTTAGGGGTCAGGGTTTAGTGATTTAGTTAGGGTTAGTGTTTAGGCTTAGGGTTAGGGTTAGTTTTGGTTTATGGTTAGGTTAGGATTAGGGCTAGGGTTAGGTTAGGGTTAGGGTTATGGTTATGTTACTCTTAGGTTTAGGATTAGGTTAGGGTTAGGGTTAGGGTTAGGGTTAGGGTTAGGGTTAGGGTTAGGGTTAGGGTTAGGTTAGGGTTAGTGTTAGGTTTAGTTTAAGGTTTAGGTTTAGGGGTAGTGTTAGGTTTAGGTTAGGATTAGTTTAGGGTTAGGCTTATGTTTTGGTTCAGGGTAAGTTTAGGGTTAGTGTAAGGTGAGGGTTAGGGTTAGGTTAGGGTTAGGTTTAGGTTAGGGTTAGGTTAGGATTAGCATTAGGTTAGGGTTAGGTTTAGGTTAGGGTTTAGGTTAGGTTTAGGGTAATTGTTAGGGTTAGGTTAGTGTTAGGATTATGTTAGGTTTAGGATTTGGGTTAGCTTAGGATTAGTGTTAGGTTAGGGTTACTTTATGCTTATGTTAGTTTAGGGTTAGGGTTAGGTTAACGTTAGATTAGTGTTAGGGAAACAAAATAATAATAAATTCAGTGGATCAGTATTTTTATTTCTGTAGCGATACAAAAGCAGTATTCTACCAAAAGATTAAAACTAACTCACATTAAACTTCTCCTGATTTAGAAGGTGGCACTAATAGTTTTAGCACCAGGAAGCATAGCAGTGATCATTTACTGAGCCTTGACTATATGCTACAAGTCTCATATGCAACAATTTGTATTGGGAGTGAGACAGTATCTGTGTGATGTAAGATAGAGTGCTCAAGACTGTCCTTGTCATAGTAGTCTCGGTATACTTTGAAATTCTTGGAGGAGTATCACAGTTGTGTATTTTATACAGTGCGAAACATGAAAATTGACAAAAAATCAAAACCAATACAGTGTGCTTAACTGTTGCACCCCCAAAAAAACATTTAGCCTTAATGAAATAAAAAAATTATTGTTAAAAATGCAGGTTAACTTTGGATACATGAAAATTTATTTGACTCAAGCATTCATTAAGAAAACCTGAGAAGAACCCTACTGGGTTACACTATCATTCAGCGCATGCAAATGATGTGGTGACAGACAAAAATAAACAAGCAGCACTAGTTGAGGGGAACCTCAGTCAGAGTATCAGACCACTGTTTACTCAGAAGTGGTTTTTTTTGTTTTTTGTTTTTTGTTTTTGTTTTTGCCACTGGGTGGTGTGCATTCTTTTTTTTTTAATCTTTTCATAATTTACATTGCTTAAAATATGATTTGCATGCTGAGATGCAAACTTACTTAATATTTTCTTCAGATAAACATTATAATGCTACTTAAGAGCACATGCTTTATAAAATAAAACTGTGGCTTCATTTGCACTCAGGTGCAGAAAGCCACTCATGAAAGCATATACTATCCCTTATTCTGTTATTAAAAAATATTTCATAGAATATTTAAAACATGATACAGTGAAGATTGTAACCAAATTTACTGGTTTTTGAACAGAATAGGAAGAAAATTAAGTGATCAAGGTGGTCACTAAAGTATTACTCATTTAAGACAGAACTATAAACCTAGCTATGTTAAATTGAGAAAATACATTGATTTGCTCATTTAGAATATATTAAGATCAGGTACCCTCTGGCAAAGCTTCATGACAGTCACAGTACATTCTCAAACATTCTGCAGTGAGAACTTAACATTTGAGAACCAGGAGAATCCTTGGCCATCTTTTCATCGAATGATTGGTGCTGATCGATCATTTGTCACTGTTGGTCGGAGCTTCACAGTAGCAAAGGGATTTGCTCCACTGTCAAAAGGTGGCTTTGCAGTACCGTTTGCATGATTAGGAGATATGGCTTCTGGTTTGGACACTGGTGCTTTAAAAGTAGAGGTATTTTTGGTGACATTGACCCTCTTCTCTGCAGCTGCTCCCATGGACAGGCACTCCAGGTAGTCGGGTGGGGGCATGATGACACTGCTCTTTTCGGCTAAGTTCATGGTGCTGACATTCCTCACAGGCGCAGGGCTTGGCATAGGCAGAGTCACTGTTTTCTGTGCACTTTCTTCCAGCAACTTTGTATATGATGATGGGAACCAACCTCTTGCTTTGGTGGTGTCATGCTCTCCGTAAAGCCAGCCATCCTTCTCCTCAAGGATGAGCAGCGTGATGACATCTCCTTGTGCAAAGCTGAGTAGCGTCTTGTTGGTACCAGCAGTATGTGGAAAAATGGTCTTTACTTTCGGCTTCTTCATCATGTTCAGTCCAGTTGCAACTGAAACAGATCGCTGTAAACTGGGATCTTCCGAGGTATCTGTTAGAATGAATGTACTAGTAATAGCTTTTCAGAGAATGTTAATCCCCATGCAAGTTCAATGAACAAATCCCAGAAAACCATCCATTCTCATTTTCCCAACACAGTCATATGGAGATTTTCATCATGTCCTATTTCCACGCCTTTGTTTTTGCTTAAATGGGACAGGGCCTGGGAGGAAGCAGAGGCAGACCATGGCCCCTGGGCTTTCACAGTGCAAAGGAGGACATGCTGCAGTGTGTGCTGGCCTTCATCTGCATTCCCACTCTGCCAAGAGCAGAGGTCTGCCGAGTTTCCTTCCCTTGCTTGCTTAATTTGGACCATGAAGGCACACTGAGCCAACAGCTCCAACTCAACTGACAACTTCCTGTGCCACAAAGAAAAGTTGGAAATGCAGATGGTCTTGCTGTAGCTCAACTTCTTATCCCTGAGTATAGAGGATGAGGCGATGATGAATCCCCTCACCAAGTGCCAGTTGGGTCTCACAGCCCTACGGCCACCAGGTCGCCTGGTCTCCTGAGGAAGGCACTGCAATCACTGAGCTCTGTGACTGGCTGAGACCACACAGTGCGCAGGTAGGATCTTTTTAGAGTCGCGTTCATATATTTTACATCAAGCTCTGTCTTTTTCTCCAGTTCATGTATAATCTCTTTATGGAATCTTTTGACATTTTCATCAAGACTTTCGCTGAGTTTCTTGTGGGTGCTTGAAATCTCTATAAGGACATGACCCAGCTCAGTTGACACGGGAGACCCGGTAGCAAACTCACCAATCTTGGCTACACCATCATGGTAGGCTTTTCCTGCCAGGATCATAGCAGTAACAGCTTTTTCATAATTTTTCCCTAGGTTTATTAAATTTCGGAGCCCAGGATTAAATTGTTCCATAACATTCCGGTAGGTGTTCTCGGTGAGCTGGCTCACTTCCTCTGGCCCCCCTGCGACATGGCTGCAGCTGCCCCTCGGGCGACCACGGGAGGACGCAGCGGGCCTCGTGGCTGCCCGACTTTGGGCGGCGGGAAGGCCAGAGAGTGACTGAGAGATCTGCCCGAGAGTGCCCGTGCTCGCCTTCACCCCAAAATGTCAAAACGTGCGGGGCGGTAGCAGCCGTGAGGAGCTGAGAGAAGGCGGCTGGACAGGGCCAGGCGAGCGGGGCGGGCTGGGTGGTCCCACCTCTGCACTCTTTTTGAAAGGTCAATTATTCACTCTACAATTGCATAAACCTTTCCCACCATATCTACAGATGTTAACCACGTCTCTTGAACTTGTACCCAAACTTTGAGAGATGTAATAATTTTAAAGAAATCTGAACATTTTCCTCTGATTAAATGACCTATTGGGTCCAATTCTCTCTAAAGAAAGAGTTAGAGTTATAGAGAGTCCACACATGGGTGGGAAGGAAACATCTATACTCAGTGCACACATAAGCATGGCCCTCCAGACTTTCCTAGGAAATACATTTTTTCACTAATAAAGCTTCACCTCTTTATGATATTGACTATGGACTCATCACCATCATCCCCAAATTCAGACTTCAGGTTCACTGCAGCTCCAAAATTCTAATGCCCCAGAAAAAAAGAGTGATTCCCTGACATGCTACTATGAAAAGATGTTAACCATTTTTAGCCACCAGAGGGCACATGTGCTCACCAGAAAGAGAAAAAACATATTTTGCCCCCTTTCTCCCTGTGGGTCAATGGTAACTCAATTCTTTTTCCTCCGTTTCTCCAGCCCATCAGGATTATGGGCACACACACACACACACACACACACACACACACACACACACACATGCACATCCAGAGCCAGGATTCAAAACATGGTCAGCCATGTGAGATCTGGTTCCTAATGCACAGCACTGACTGCTGCACTGTAGGGCCAGCCTGAAGATGTCAAATTCTTAACATTTCTCACTAAAGTAAGGTCATGGGGAGCAATATTAAACAAATCTATGTACATGCAGTTGAAAGGAGTGCTCTGCCCCAGAATTTCTATTCTCTTTCTTACCTGACACAGTTTCAGTCAGAAGATGGCTGGGTAATTTTATTGTACAAAGTATTAAGTATCTGTTTCATCCCTGCTACCTTTTCATATAACCTGGCTGATGCAGCATTGAAGTGTGAGTGAAAAGAAGTTTGAGGAAGTCATTAAAAGTTGAGTAACCTTTCAGGCCCTCAGCTAATTTTCTTCCAATTGAGCTGGGCCCATGGAGACCCCATGGACAACACAGAACAGGAAGCCCAGCTTAGCTGGGTAGCACAGAGGTCTTAGATAAAGCAAACAAACCAGAGTTCAGTGAGATGACAGAAAGGAAATGAGAAAAGTCACACTGTAAGCCATCCTTCAGGCAGTCCAGTGAGCAGAAAACAAAGCCACAAAACCAATGACCCCCAGGGGTGAGAATGCACTACACAGGTGGTCAGAAGAAAGCTGAAATTAGACTCTGCCCTTTTAAACCATTTTGATATATTCTAATTGCCTTGAGTTATATTTTGGAAAATAAGAGTTTATAGTTGACATGGCAAATAACTTTCGGAAGTTGTTAAAAGAGTAACATGAATCATTTGGGGGAACCAGCAGGTGGTGTAGTGGTTAAAGCACTTGACACTCTCACATGGTAGACCACTGTTCGAGTCCTGGACTTGGTGGCATACTTTCTCACTTTCCCCCTCTTTCTCTCTCTCTCTCTCTCTCTCTCTCTCTGTCTTTGTCTGGTCAAATTAAATAAATTAATAAATAAAATTAAATAAAAATAATTCTTTAAAAAAATAGACATTTGTTGACAATGAGGACCAGAATGACAATTTGAACCAGAATACTTCATCAACACCTAATAATATGTAAACAAGAAAGAAATTACACCTAATCTAAACACTGAGCACATTAAAATATCAATTTGAGTAGGCAAAGAAATAGAATAATTTACATACAATTAAAAGTTTATGGGGTAAATACTTTTACTAAAGGGATTTGTGAAAGATAGTTGCTTATCTAGATTGAGTGTCTCAATAATGTTTCATAAAGGACACAGGACGATCTAATTGGAGAGTTAGTGAAGGATAGTAGCCAAGACACCCTCAATACCCAGAAATGACACAATCAAAGAAAGTGATGGGAATGGGAATGAGTATAGTGTATTTGCGAGACAATGAACTAAAGCAATCTGGGCAAAGTAGACTGCGCGTATTTGGTAGTAACAAAAAAACATGAATCAGGTCAAGTAGTCCCAGTCTTCTGTACATGGTCAAAGAACTTGGAACTGATAGGGTAAGAGGCTATTACAGTTGCTATAACAGGGTGAGACACAACAAATGGATATTTCAGGAAACTTTGTAGGCCAGATTTGGAAAAAGATGGCTTAATTTATGCACATTAGCCATGATGTAGACTGGTTGTCCTAAGGATCTGACCAATAATGGACACTTGAAAAGGAGAAGAATTTGACAAAACATTGAAAAAAGAGTAAAACCCAAGTCCCTAACAGACTGGATATGAAAGAAAAGGGCAAGCATGTTAAATATGACTCCACTAAATCCACTAAGTATTAACCAGGAGGCCTATAGATACTACTAAAAAACTTCTCAAAGAAATTGAAAGGTTGATAAATGGGGCTTTGGGTGGGGGCAAGGGGGCACTCTGCTTTATTTTTCATGTTTACTGTAATTCAAAGCAATGATTATTGACACTCAATGATTTATTATTCTAGTTCTAAAGATCTTTCAATGCATTAACAGCTGGGCAAAAGGACAGTACAGACCATTACATGAATCAAGTAAAAATAAATATAAAAATCATACTAACAAGTTAAATGATAGTTTAATCAGTGATAGAATTGAAAATAAAGGAATTGCACAGGAAGTGGGGACAACAGATTAAAATGTCACAAATGGAAAGCAGGATGCTGAATCTTGAGCTATGAGTTGAGAGATTAGAGCTAGAGAAGGAGGAACTGAGGTGGAGCCAGCCACAGCAGG